CTGCTTTTTTTGTAAGATAAAGTAAGATAAACAATTTTCAGTAACACTTTACAATAAGGTCTCATTGGTTAACATTAGTTAATGCATTAACAAACATGAACTAACAATGAGTAATATTTTTACAGCATTTCCTTTGATTTTCATATTAATTCACAGTGCATTTACAAACTTTAGACCTTGTTTTAGTAAATGCTAAGATTAATAAATGCTGAAGAATTATTGTTCATTGTTAGTTTATGTTAGCTAATGTAATTAACTAATGTAAACAAATGAAAAGTAGGGATGCACCTAAATTTCGGCTACTGAACATTCTCAGCTATTTACATTTACAGGCCGGTTTTGGAGGGCCGAAATCAGGGACACAAACAGATGTTTAATTATTAGCCTTTCTCCGATGGCTTGTTTTGAATGGCAAAATTTTCATTTCGGTGCTTCCCTAAGTTACACCTTGTCATAAAGTGTCACAGCTTTTATATTAGTATTTATTTAACTTTATTTTTGGCTCCTTGTAGGTTCCTGAACCCTACTTTTAAAATCTGTGATTTTGAAGATTTACTTTTTTAATTAATTTAATTGCATCAAATTTAATGTGGCTTCTACACTGACTGAAATCTGGAGGTTTTCGTCTGCTCTGTGGAAGGAGTTCACAGAGGATGCACGTGTTTCAGACACATCTGGCCTGTGAATTTCGTGTCGTCCCTTCCAACTTTCCTTCTGAGAGAGACTGAGAAAAAGCTATGGAAAAGGAGACAATAAAAAGGACAGAAAAAGTGAGATGGAACAGACTTTAAGCCAATGATATAAAACCCACAGATGGCACTTGCACTGTACTGTTTGAATTGGCCTATAAGCCTTGAGTGACACAATCTGTGTTTACTGGAATCCAGATATTCTAGTATTGAATTTTCTCATATAATGAAAATCACATATTCAGTGATGCAGGCAGTGTAGACATGATTAGTATTATATACAGTAGCATTTGCCCCACCCCTTTTGAACAGCCGTCAAGAGGAAGGAAGGAATAAAGAAAAGCAGGAGAGGAGGAGGAGGGAGAAGAGGGGGAGGGGGGTGGGAATGACACAACGATGTCATAATCACAATCGCCGGGCCGTTGCCATGGAGACAGAGACATGAGAGCAGGCCGATGGCATTCACAGTGAGGGTGCTCCGACCTGCTGTTCACTTCAGCACTGCGATACAGGAAATATTTTTAGATAAGAGATGGAGCGGATCTGAGGAAGGGAGGTGTAAGCGAGAAATAAAACGGTGATGTGGTATATTAAATCTACTGTGCTGGAAAATCCTGAGGGTAGTTGGTTTTACAGTACATTGTTTCTAGGTGGTCTATATGGCTGGTAGACCTGCTTTCAAGCTGGTTAGAGCTGGTGACCTTACCCCAGCAATAAACCAGCTACCATTTTTTTTTTTTTTTTTAAACAACTTAAAGGATGAGTTCACTTCAAAATAAAAATTTCCTGATAATTTACTTACCCCATGCCATCCATCCAATGCCTTCCGCCTATGCCCAGCGCGACCTTTCCAACGTGATTACGTAATGCCTGACGCGACAGACCAGCACAAGACGAACAACTGTGTGTATAAAGTATATACATTTTTTTTTTTATTTTAGAAAATGACCGATCGTTTCGCTAGATAAGGCCCTATTCCTCAGCTGGATCATGCAGATCCCTTTGAAGCTCTTTAAAGCCCATTGACTGCATTGATTTGGACTTCAACAGTTTTGTGGAGAAAAGTCCTGAAATGTTTTCCTCAAAAATGTAATTTCTTTTCCATTGAAGAAAAAAAGATATGAACAATTTGGATGGCATTGAGGTGAGCAAATTATCAGGAAATTTTCACTTTAAGGTGAACTAATCCTTTAAGCAGATTTGGCCCATTCTCTCCCAGCAGGAAAGATAAAATTAAACAAAGTCATGTTATGAAATGTTAGTGGAAACATAATTTGATTTGGTATTTTGGGAACGTATAGGGATAGTTCACCTAAAATTAAACTTCATACGTCTTGCACCTATTCCACTAAACCTGTAAGACTTTATTTCTTGTGTGGAGTGGAAAAAGAGGATATTTTGAAGAATATTCTCTCTGTTTTTTTTCCTGTAACTTTATGGTGACCATAGCTTTTAAAGGGATAGTTCACCCAAAATTAAAAATTCTGTTATCATTTTCTCTCCCTCATCATTCCAAACCTTAGACTTTCATTCAGAAAATTGTAAATAAGGTTTATTATCTCTTTATTAACTTTTTGAAACGTCAAAGTGATAGTTGCATAGACTGTCAATGGATGGACAATGACAATTATTTTTCATTTTTGGGTGAACCCTTTCCAGATCCAAATAAAGCACAATAAAAGTAGTCCATATGACTTAAATGCTATATTCTTCTCAAGCCATATATGATACATTTGTGTGAGAAACAGATTAATATTGAAGATATACAAGCCTAATCTTCCGCTCCATTGTGCAGTGAATCACTGTGACTAAATCAATGAGTCAGTAAGTTCAACTTAAGGAACCATCTTTTCTTTTCTTTTGTGGCTGATCATTTGAGTGATTCATTCATAGTTCAACTCTCTTTCTTTGGTATTGATGTTATGGACATTATATTGAATTATATAGACTTTTATAGTGTTTTTTTAAGCTCCTTAATTTTTTCCCACATACGAAAAGATGTGTTAAATGAAAAACATTTTTGTGGTAAAATATTCCTTGAAATGAAGGTATGAAAGAATGTACATGGACTTGGTGAGTAGATAAAAAGTGGCAGATGAAATAAAAGGGAAGTGAGTGATTGTGAAAGACTGTGAAATGACTAAACAGAAATGAGAAGAAAATAGAAGCTAGGGGGGAAAGTCAATGTCTTTAATTGCTGCATGATGTCCTCCTGTACCCTACTGATGTACAGAATTATCTTTAGTTTTTTCCTGAATCAGAGAAGTTGATGGCAGCACAAGCGGAGAGGCAGATGGGTACTGATCACTGCGTTACTCCGACCGCTACTGATGTAGATATCCTCCATCAGCAGTTTTTGATAGGATTATTAATTCCCTCTGCAGTATGGAATCAAAATTTAAAGCGTTTTCTGTTAAACTTTGAGATTGACATTCATAATCGTGACTAAACCTTATTCAGAATGAAGTATTAACTTTGTATGTATTAAGAAACAATGGTATAAGGAACAATCACTCAGATTTCAACATGACTGCAATAAAACGTGACTGAGACTTAAATCTAATATGACTTTTAAAATGTTATGTGCTGATTAATGAACGAAATGCTCACATTAAATGAAATGAATCACATTATATTACTTTAATAATCAAGATGGCCATAAATAAGTACAGCTGTGATTCGGCTGTAAGCACTGAATGATTCAATATTTGAATGCCATGTCTGCCACTAGTTTCGTTCTTGAATGAATCAGCATTTTTGAATGACTGTTTGAATGAATATTTTAATGATTCACTCATCAAGGTTATTCTTTTGATGTGTTTTCAAACAGATCTGTTAAATGAATCGAATCGAAATGATTCAAATGACTCACTCACGTGTCAACGTTCAATTTTTAGCGCCATCCTCTTGGTCAAATGGAAAAAGGGCGGCCTTTTTTTCTGCTCTATTCTGCTGCCCTCCATCTCATTGTTTTTAACATGAGACTTTGGCAAGCTTAGATCAAAGACAACTGTAAACAGGAAGCTGCTACCACAAAATATTCATCTGAGGTACACAAGTGCTGCTTAAAGACTCATGGGTAAACTAGGGTGCTTTATATAGAATGGCACTCTGTTTCCGGAGCAAGGCTTACTGTTGTAGTTCCCAACTATTATAAATGAACCCACAGTGATACACCCATATGCTCGTGTGGTTTTATGGTCCCAGTCTCTCTCTGACGGAGAATATGATGCATGACTGTAGCTGTAAAAACTACCGCTTTAGTTGCACCCAGGGCTGCAGAAAAATAATCTTCACTGAAGAAGATGAATAATATCAACTAGCGTTACCAAATGAAACTCCAATGAGTCAATGTGCTGCCCCAGACAGCAAAATAGTGTCGGCCTAGATCCGGCTCAAACCTTGGCTTTGTGGAATCCACGTGTATGGGCCGGATCTGGGCCGACACTATGACCCCGTTTACACCTGGTATTAAAATGCGATCTGTATCCAGATAAGTTATCCGGATAATAAGTACTGATTCCATTTACACCTGGCCACATAAATGTGTTTTTGCAAAACGGATATAAATCCGATCTTCACCTCCTGCGTTATATGCAGATTTATTGGATTGCACGCCACCAAAAGCAACAGATCTGAGCGGCATTTTATTGATCATCAGCTAATTTCCAAATCAGAGACATCAATAAGAGAGAGTGGCAACAGGCCTGGTAAGATAATTTCGTTTCTTTACTTGAAGATGTGTTAACTGCGTCTGTGACTTACTTTCACTTTTATTTGCGATGTTTGCACGTTGAATAGACGCTCAGCTGCTCATATGCGGTGATGCGTGTCGCGTGTCGCATCTGACTAGGCTATAACATGACATATAGCCTATATAACACGCTCTCACTCGTTTATTTTTTAGCATTTTTGGGAGGAGTAAAATATACATATGTGGTTTCAACAACCAGATTGCGTTTACACCTAGTAAAGATCCGGACACAATGCGAGCCAGACTACCTCCAGATGTGGTCAGGCAGATCCGATCACGATCCGATCACAACGCGTTTACACCTTGCATTAACATGCGTTTTTAACATGCGTTTTTTATTATCCGGATAACTTATCTGGATACAGATCGCATTTTAATACCAGGTGTAAACGGGGTCTATGTTGTTGTCTGGGGCAGATATTAGACCCTTGTGCTGACTGACTGACCAGTGTCTGAACCCAAGATAAAAAAAAGCAAATATAAAATTTTTGCTGTTTTTTTTTTTTTTGCATAACTATACTCTACACATACTCAAGCTTTTTGACTTGTTTTCTCAGGTTTTCACCACATACTCCAATGAGGACTACGACAGACGCAATGATGATGTTGATCCCATGGCGGCTTCGGCCGAGTACGAGTTGGAGAAGAGGGTGGAGAGACTTGACCTATTCCCCGTCGAGCTGGAGAAGGGTACGTGACCCGCCTTACTAGAGCCTTTGTGGTATGTCCTTAAGGGTCCTTAACTTCCTATTTCTAAACAAACTGACTGAAGCAGCTTGTTTTGGTCTGTAAAGTAAGCTTTTGCTGATTAGACAGTTTGAGAGGTCGAGTCCTCTCTCCCAGAAGAGTTGTGTTGAGTTGTGTAGCTTTTAAATTAAAGTTACATTCAATCTGGGCTTTCTCTACATTCAAAAAAATAAGTGAACAAGATCTTTCCAAGAGGATTATTTGAAATGAAATGTGTTTATAATTGCTAAATAATTATAATCCCAAAATCTGGTCAAAGGATTTACAGTCACACGATTAGTCACATACTAATTCTAGATCATTATCCCAATATTTAGTAATTGGCATCTAAAAGCCTTAAATCTCTCTAAAGTGCCCATTTACGAATTAAAGGATTATATTATAAGTATATTTTACTATCATTTATATACTATTATAACATTGGAATTAACTTAATATAATTGCCATTAACTTTTATACTTTCAATTTTAGTTTGTTTTAGTCATTTTGTTATGTGCTTTTGTAATATTTTAGGTTTCATTATATTTCTAGTATGGCTGTCAAGCGATTAATCGTATCCAAAATAAAAGTTTGTGTTTACATAATATATGTGGGTGCACTGTGTATAATTATTTAGTATATATAAATACACACACATGCATGTATATTTCAGAAAAAAAAAAAAATTATATATAAATTATATATAAATCTACATACAGTATATACATGAAAATATTTCTTAAATATATACAACCATGTGTGTGTATTTATATATATAAAATAATTAAACACAGTGCACCAACATATATTATGTAAACACAAACTTTTATTTTGAATGCGATTTAGTCCTTAATTTTATTTCAGTTAGTTGTTGAAGCAACATTTCTAATTTTCTTTAAGCTTTTATTATTAATTAGTATTTTATTTCAGCTTTATTTTAACTGCCGAACACTTAAAAAAAAATTAGTTAACAATAGCAACACTGATTTAAAGATTGTTTTAATATTTTGATCATAATACTATTGTACCTACGTAAATGACTTAATCAGTCATTTCCACAGCATTGCAGCCCATAGACTTGATGTCTTCCTGTATATTATAACTGTGTTGTGTTAATTTACGAGACATGTGAACTAGTCATGATAACACTGTGATTCCTTTCCGTTCAGATAAAGACGGATTGGGAATCAGCATCATCGGGATGGGTGCCGGTGCAGACATGGGCCTAGAAAAACTGGGAATCTTCGTCAAGACTGTGACGGAAGGAGGAGCCGCCCACCGAGACAATAGGTCAGTGAGAGAAACTGTGAAGCTGATGCATACATTTATGCTTTTGTCAAAATGAGTAGTGTACATGGTTTTGTTAGTTTATAAAACAGAAGTGTATCATGCTTGACTGAATTCAGTCAACACACATGCAGGGGAGGAAGGATGGTGCAGTTTATTGATCTATATTCAGTTGAACCTGACCTTGCAAAGTCGTCTGAGGATTTTCAGACCCTGGAGTGAATCATGAGCCGCGTTTCCACTGCCGGGCCAGGGCCGGCCGTGCTAGTGCGTGCCAGGGCCAGTCGCGTTTCCACTGTCACTTCCGGGGCTTGATCGGGGCTTCCTCAGGGCCAACGGCCAGGATTTCTGGCCCGTCGAATACCTTGGGCCAGAGGGGGCCAGCTCGGGCTAGAGGCGTGCTCAAGGTAAAAGGCGGAGTTTATCGGTGTTATGGAAATTATGATCTGAAGCAAGATGCACATAGGGGTGTCCATGTTTAACCGATTAACCGTTTAAAATTGCATAACATTTTAATTTGAACTGTAGGCCTATGCCAAATGCTGCGCAAAAATATATAGGCTATATATAGGCTACATATCGACGAATTTTCAGATATTTGTTTGATTTTTTTTTTGCCCCCTAAACATTTAAAATATTTGACAAATTAATATGAAAAAAATATATATTTTTCTGGTTTTCTGAGGCCAAATTAGAACCTGGAAATGATATTTTCCCCGCAGTGCTGAATGAGAAGAGCCGTACAGCCTACAGAAAGGTGATTTATAGGCTATAATAAATGTGTCTGATAATAAAATAATATACAATAACGAGGCATTAATTGTTTATTAATAAACTATTGTTTTCTAAATCATTTTCGGCTAAAAATCTCCATCTCCGGATGCACATTTAGAGAGAAATTAATTAGCTACATAATTACATAGTCAGAAGATATTGGCTTTCGATTCGAATTTGTTCGTTTTAAATGGGACATTTAAAGCTTTAATCTACAAAGGATATAACCCCTGTAGACTAAAGCTTTAAATGTCCAATTTAAAACGAACAAATTCGAATGCGGTGGCTGTTTCAGGTCTTGCGCTTCAGTTCACGGAGATCATGAAGCGCGCCTTGATTAATTGTTAAAGCACAACGTTTTCTTGTTATTGTGAGTTTACGCAAATAAATGTATTTGCGAATAATGTATTATTATTTTCTGTATGACCAGAAATGAAAGAGTATTTTAAGTTGTTTCCACTGAAAGAAATGCAATGAAACTGCAAGTATTCACATGGGCGTCTCGCAGCCATCAGTGCGTGCTCCACACACACTGGATATGCGTCAAAAATATTGTGTTTATTTGTGCTCTATCTTTTTTGGATAAAGGCGTCTTCTACATATGCAGCCTAATAAAATGTTACAATAATGATGATGGTTATTATATTATTATTATTATTTGCAGACAAGGAGTTTTTGACGTGAAATGGACGTTTTGCTTATTTTCAATTGGCAATTTCAGTTTGAAGGGTGATGGAAATGCGGCTTTAACTGCTCCGTACTTGCTGCGTTTTATTTCTATAAATTAATTTCGTTTCAAATGGGGTCCAATCAGTTATTAAAGGTGTTAAAAATTAACTCTGTATCTCGAGGTTGCGGCGCGCACACTAACCGAGTATTAACCGCTGGGCCTCGGTTAACGGTTAGCCTAATGATAACTTGTTATATCGTGCAAAAAAATCGCTGCTTGAAATAGAGAATCGCCTGTACTGGTCTCGGGACACTATTGCAGCCACCACGGCAGGTGAGTTAATATACATGCTATCTTCCTAATTTAAAAAATAAAATTAATTCATAATACCCGCTGAAAGGGGTTGGGTTTTATGACGTTTGATCCAGAAAGGCGTGTTAGGGGTGGGGTTTGGGGCAGCGCTGTGGGGCTACTGGCCCGGCAGTGGAAACGCAAGCCCGGTGCTTGAGGCCCGAGGCCACTAGCTCGGCTCGGCTCGCTGTTAGCTCTGGCCCAGCCCTAGCCCGGCAGTGGAAACGCGGCTATGGAAAGTTACTTCTACCATTCAAGCTTAAGAGGTTAAAAAAATAGCAGTAAATCAGCCTAGAGAAGCCCCCTTTTGCTCATGACAATCCTTCAGATCGCAGGAGATTCAGCGAGTGTTATGATTCTTAATAAAAATTCATAACATTAGTTATTTCTTTCCGGGCATGAGTCAGTAGGTTGGTGGTGCATTGCAGTGGCTTCCTTTTCATTTTACACCTAGAAGCCACAGGAGATAGGGGTGTAACGGTACACAAAAATCACGGTTCGGTACGTACCTCGGTTTTAAAGTCACGGTTCGGTACGTTTTCGATACAGCAAAAAGAAAGAAATGCCAGAGAAATTTCCTATTTGTTTAAAGAAAAAAATATTTTTAAATAAGTGCGAGTTTTCCTAGATCTTGAAACTTTCAGGTTTATCATCTTTGAAGGATGAACAAATAATGTTTTGGTCATCACATTAAAAATAACTTTTAAATATATATTTATTTATATAATATTTGAATTTTGAAGTGCTGGAAAAAGATGTGTGAAGTACTTGAAAGCATTTCACCATTCCAGCCAAACTGGTTTCAGTTAGTGTTTCTATATTAAATCCATGGTGAATGTTGCTGGTCTGTGGACGTAAAGTATTACACTAGTTCATTCACGGCACAATGTTTTTCCTGGTTTCCATGACAGCGCTGTTTGATCTAATAGAGATCTAAGGTTTATAAAGGAGAAATGTGAATGCATCTCACTAGATCTCGCAGCGATGTTATTACCTCAGTGGCGAATTCAAATGTTTTCTTTACCGGATCTCTTAGCGCTGTGAAGTAACAGTGTTGCTTGATCGAGATCGGCTCGCGCTGCACAGATGTTGCTGGTCCGAACTGATAAACGATCCGTGAAGCACATAACGAGGAGCGCAGTTTCGTTCTGCTTTCATTACGCTTGCCATTTGATGTTGCGCAATGTTGTGTTGGCCGCGTCAGCACGAATTTTGCCGGCAGGAAAAATGGTCCAAGCAATCGTTCGGTTTGTATGCGTACCGAACCGGAAGCCTCGAACCGAAACGGTTCAATACGAATACATGTACCGTTACACCCCTAACAGGAGACATACAAATCTAATAAACCAATGCTCAAATGTGCTGTAACCACATGTGTTTTTCCAAGCACCTCATCCTCACTTTCTGGCTCTTGATTGGTTTTTCTGCTGTCAATCAAACGTACGGTGGCCCTGACAAACAGGGTGTTCGGGCCATTTTGGATGGGGTTGGATAGTTTGACATGTTTTACGGCCTGGAATTACAAGAAGTGGTTTAGTTAAGTGGGGCACTGATTCACTGCTGCTGTCGGTCAGTTGTCAGGTCTATTTCAGACCGAATAAATTATTCCTTTGGCAGTGTCAATTTCTTTTACACATAGAGTGATGAGATTGTTCAGTAACTTGGCCCAAGATGAAGCAGCTATTTTACGAAAGCGCTTCTTTTCCTCCCTGGGCTGTTATCATGGTTCTTCTTCCCTTCGGCAGGATCCAGGTGAATGACTTGATCGTGGAGGTGGACGGAACCAGTCTGGTGGGCGTAACCCAGAATTTCGCTGCATCTGTCCTCAGGAACACCAGCGGCACTGTCAAGTAAGGAAACAAAACAACATTTGAGTAGCGACTTTAAATGTTTGGAAAGTATACTAGTAAAATCAGTATTATTGTGAAATATTATTACAATTTAAAGTGTTTGTTTTATATTTTTTTATACATAAAAATGTATTTATTTCTGTGATAAAAGCTGTATTTTCAGCATCATTACTCCAGTCTTCAGTGTCATATGATCTTTCATAAATCATTGTAATATGCTAATTTGGTGCTTAAGAAATATTTCTTATTATTATCAATGTTAAAAACAGTTGTGCTGCAGCCTTCTTAATATTTTTTGTGGAAACTAATTCACTTTTTCTAGATTTTTTTTTTTTTTTGATGAATTCAGGTAGACCTAAAGCTTAATGTATTACTTTCCCTCTATTTAATTCAACATTATCTTCTTTTGTCTCTTGTCAGATACTCATTGCCTCACTATCATCTCTAATAGTACCGTTATAATGCAGTGTATCAAATAGATTGCTGCTTTCTGTCACTTTGACCTGTGGTTGTATCTACAATCAAGATGAGGGATTGGGTTGTGGCAATTCAAACAAGCTCACGCATCCGCGTCCTGTTATCTATTAATCTGCCAGCGTGGATGGTCTATGATTGTAATGCAGGAAAATGGAAAATGTGATTAATATATGAGGCTTAAGCACTGTGGGAGAGAACATGTTTAGTAATAACTTTGTCTCTTTTAATACAGTTGAATGCATACATCAGGATAGTGATGAAGTTTTTGATATTATTTGATTATTGTTTATAATGAAGGTCTTTTCCTTCCTGTAAATCTGTATACAGTATATTTTCACTAGACATCACCCTTCAAAACAGTCCAGGAATGGCAGCTAGTCCACTAGGTCACCTGATTGACTGGTGTTTGTGTTGAAGGTTTGTGATTGGCCGAGAGAAGCCGGGGGAACAGAGTGAGGTGGCCCAGCTGATCCAGCAGACACTGGAACAAGAGAGATGGCAGAGAGAAATGATGGAGCAACGCTACAACCCCTACATGGAAGAGGATGAAGAGGTAAAATTTCATAAGATACACAATGGACCCTTTAATAGTCAACTTTTTCAATTTGTGACTAATGCAAAATTTGTGTGTTGTATTTTAGACGTTTTTTTTTTTCAAAATCCTAGCTATCACTATTTATTTAAAAGTGAAATATTTGCAATTGTAAAATATAAATTCTATTGGGGCTGCATGATTATTCTAAATAAGAGAAGAAATTACTGCAATATTTCTCATTTTTAGATATTTTTATAATAATTACACAATTTTGGCCAAATTGTGCTGCCCTACAAACAACCACAAGCCCTACTTTCCATTTTTTTAACATGTTTCCTAAACTCCACCATTACAAGGTTTTAAATTTTTATTTTATATTATTAGACAAAAAAAAAGTTGTGAAATACACTCGTTTGTCAAGGATAACATAATAAAGTTAAAAACTGTCCATCCATTGCAGTTGCCTTGATGTAGAGTACAAACTTCTCTCCAAGTGACAGGTTACTTTGGCATTGCATGCTATTATACTAATACAAATTCATCATTAAAACAACCTATATAATAACCAACTTTTGAGTTTCAAACTAAAACCAACAATAATTGAAAGACTTTTAATACCCAGAGGCAACTTATTCCACATTTGAGCCCCTGAATCGAAAGACCTACGACCATACAAAGTTTTAAAAAGTTATAATGTAATATGACTTTTTCTTGCATTATAAAAATGTCCCTCACTTACCTGAGAAATTTGTGTTAAAATATATAGGAGCTTTATTATTGATTATCTTGTGTACCTTTTTTATTTAAAATGTGCTACTCTGCTTTCTATAGGTAACAATCAAGTTGTCTAAAATGGATACATCAACATGTGTAAAACTACTTAAACCTAAAACCAACCATATCAATTTATTTTGAGATTTCTGTATCTTATCCACGTGAATGGCAGATTTGAAAGTTGTACATTTAGCTTTGAGGCTTGGAAATGTTTTTGGGGCTTGATTATATATGCACCCATTGCAAAAATGATTGAAAAAACAAACATTGTTTTCACTCAATGTTGTATAAAATTGCTTTCCTATTCTGTTAAAATCAGTTATTTTGCTTCCAATTGAGTGGCACCCCATGCTTTGCATATGTTATTCCTTTTTAGATCCTCTGACCTTAGATTTCATAAGTTAGTCTGGAAATCCCGGTCACTGTGTGTGTGTGTCTGTGTCATACTTTTACGTAACATTTGCTGATGGCACTGATGGTCATCAGCTTTCTTGGAGAATACGGACGCAAGATTAATGTATGACAGTCTTCATCACAGCCTTGTCAGCTGCCGTCTGTTTCTCAACTTTGTATGGGTATGAGTGAGGTTTAGGAGGCTCAGTTTGTATTTGCCTTGAATTTTAAACAACCACATTTAGGTTTCTAATTCGTTCAACTTCATATTCACAAGTAAATCGTGGGTGAAAAGACAAACAGTGAATGCAAGTAAGGGGGAAGAGTCAAGTGACTAATTTCAGACATTGTTTCGTTTACTTCATAGACTGTAATCATATAAATATAGTTCCCTGCAACAGCATGTTTTACCATCTCTAACATGATTTTTACTTGAGAATGTGACAGATTTATGAGGAATGATATTTTACCTTGTTTTTGGCAATGCATCAACATAGCTGAGGTATTTAGATTTTTATGACATGTTCAAAATGCTCAACTCATAAATCAAGTTAAACTAAAAGAAGTGTTTCTTTCAACAGCTTATACAATCTTATTGCATTCACAATTATTAGAGTGATTTTGTGCCTGCAATGTGAGACATGATGTCAACATTCCTTCATCGAAACACTCTTTCAAGAACCATCATAAAACAATAATTCATTGCTTTAACACGTTCACCCTGTACCTCTTCTACATGTCGCATGATCGCCATCCACACCTTCCCACTTAGCTGTGGCGTGAAGGGAATTGATTAATAATTCATATATTAAAGATTGACAAGTTCTCACATTTGATATTTTGGGAGATCTTGGGTAGGGTAAAGTTCCATCACAGTGCATCTCACGGCTTAATTTGCCAGCTCAGTGCCCTCTCAGCACGTTCTCCTCCGCAACACTGAGCGCACGTCAGTCTGATGTTATCTTAACGTTTGAGAAGTGCTAAAACAGACAGTTTGTCTGCTACTTCACCCACATGGCAGAGTTGGACCCAGGGAGACAGAATGACAGACTGGGCGTTGTGTGTGTGTATATATATATATATATATATATCTGTATTTACAAATGTGTTTTCTATTATACCCTGATATATATTTTATATATGTATATATATATTTTATATTTTAATTTTATTCAGCAAGGACACATAATTATTTAAGACTGTAGTAAGGACTTTTATAACATATTTATATTTTTAATTTTATTATTATTTTGTTTTATTAGATTAGAAAAAAATACATTCAAATTAGTGCATTAAAATAGTTTAAAATATTGTTTTTATTAATACATTTTGTGAAGTCAAAGTAAAATATTATTTGAAACTATTAAATCCTAAATTTCAAGCTTCTATAACCAAAGACTAGTACAGGTGTAATTTGCTGAGAAAACTGTTTTTTAGTTAAATAATGTTAAATATTAGATAAATATTAATGTGTGTGTGTGTGTATATATATATATATATATATATATATATATATATATATATATATATATATATATATTAGGGCTGTGCAAAGATTAATCACAATCCAAAATAAGACTGTGCTTACATAATGTATGTGTGTGTGCTGTGTATAATTATTTTGTTTATATAAATACACACATGTATATATTTAATAAAATGTGTTCATATTCGTATATAAAATATGTATATTTTTATATAATATAGATTATATATTTATATATAAATATAAAAATATATAAATATATATATACAGTATTTACGTGCAAATAATTCTTAAATATATACATGAATGCATATGTATTTATATATACAAAATAATTATACACAGCACACACATATATTATGTAAACAAACTTACATATGTGTGTGTGTGTATATATACACACACACACACACACGCACACACACACATAAATGCATACATTTGTATTTATAGCAAGTGATGACCGAATTTAAAATTTTGGGTGAAGATAGGGTGAGATAAGTAATTGTGATTTTTCGTTCTTTTCTTGTAATGCTGAACTGATACTTACCTATAAAATTGTAAAGGTCATAATAAACAAGATCAAAACTCTACATCAGAGGAACCAAGATTTTCACCAAGCATTTCTGTCACATGTGTCATGAACGGTGACTGTTTTCCTGATAAGAGTTTACACTGTTCACTCATCCAGACAGGAAGTCATTGTATGAGAGTTAGCCTGCTCATGTCCAAACTTGTAAGGGAAGTCCATTGTTAAAAGGATGTTTGTAATAGTAGTGTATTTGCAGTGGCTTTTAGGTAGTGTTGGGTGTACGACGGGCTTTTGGGGTCAGAGTAATAGCAGTTTTGGGAAATTGAGAACATGCTGGTTGTTTTACTTCAGATGTGTTGGGGCATGCAGTCTCTCACAAATACACAAGAGACTTTGTGTGTTTATTTAAGGTTTTGACAGCTCCCAAATCACTCCAAATGTGGCCCATCAATGCATCAAGCGGTTGCAGTTCTTTCAATTTGCTTTTATCTGGCTTTACTTCATCTTCCTGCAGCTGCACAGTCAATTCAAAATGGTGGTTGGCCAGTCACAGGTTTTTTCATAGTGTCCTGGCATGCATTTTCCCCTTGATCCAATTGGTTTCTGCCTAGCTTAACTGTGACATCTAGTGGTTAATGTTATTAACACACTGATCAGACACCAATACATACCCAAAGTCCTATAAATCAGCTTATTTTGCTTTAAAATCCATAAAAATCCAATTAAAATCTGATATACAAATCTTATTTGCATGTGTCTCAATGTCTTTCTTTCTTTGTCTCTCTCCATGTTCAGACAGGTGAATATGCCACAGATGAAGAGGAAGAGATGAGCCCCATGTTTCCTAATGCCATCGAGGTGTTTGACCTGGCAGAGAATGAAGACATGGTTTCTCCTGTGGAGATGGACCCAGAGAAACTCACTCACAAGTTTAAGGAGGTCAGTAGAACATCTAAGGGAACTTCTAAACCTGGCCACTCGTAAACACATGACCTATAAAATATGGAAACCTGTTCTAGCTGGCATTGTGTACTTACCTATGGAGGAAGATAATCATCTATCTATCTATCTATCTATCTATCTATCTATCTATCTATCTATCTATCTATCTATCTATCTATCTATCTATCTATCTATCTATCTATCTATCTATCTATCTATCTGTCTGTCTGTCTGTCTATCTATCTATCTATCTGTCTATCTATCTATCTGTCTGTCTGTCCATCTATCCGTCTATCTATCTATCTATCTGTCTGTCTGTCTATCTGTCCATCTATCCACCTATCTATTTATCTATCTGTCTGTCTGTCCGTCCGTCTATCTATCTATCTATCTGTCTGTCTATCTGTCCATCTATCCACCTATCTATTTATCTATCTGTCTGTCTGTCTGTCTATCTATCTATCTATCTATCTATCTATCTATCTATCTATCTATCTATCTATCTATCTATCTATCTATCTATCTATCTATCTATCTATCTATCTATCTATCTATCTATCCATCTATCTGGATCCATCTATTGGTCTGTATCAACAATCAATATTTTGTTACAATCAATTAGTAAAATGGATATTAAATGTACAGATATATTTTCTCTTTTATTTATAAAAAAATGTGCTCACACTTAATCTAAACTCTAGAATTGTATGTTTCAGTGTACAATTTTTAGTAAATTCATTGTTATGAAGAGATGGAAAGATAGGTGTTGGTAAACAGTAAAACTGTTGGAAAAATGTACAGTAAAACTGTTTATTACTTTTAAAACTTGATATTTCAAAATGAAAGATTAAACTGTTTGAATTTAAATTAAAAGCCTTAAATTATAGGCCTTAAATAAGATATTTTATTGTTTAAAAATATTTTTAAAAATATAAAATATTAATATTAAATTAACATAATATATATTAATATTAATATAAATATTGATTTATAACGTTATGGTCACCAATATTACTTAAACTTATAAACAGTCAAATCATCCTTAAAATAAGTCTTACTTAAAAAGTGCCTAGCTTAAATTGAATGTTTTGTAGACATGCATCTGTAAGATTTTAAACCAGTAATCAAGAAAAATGTACATTAACATTGCTAGCATTGGATGCTTCAGTACTCTCTCTATCTCTGTCTCCAGCTCCAGATCAAACATGCTGTGACCCAGGCTGAGATCCAGCAGCTCAAGAGGAAGGTATGTCTGACCCTCACAAACACCACTTGTACATGTCATTTTAACTGTTGGCTTTAGATTTTAAGGTTTCAGAAGAATAAACATTTGTAAGAGATCTTTAAACAACCTTTATTTACCCTTGTGACAAGATCTCTCTCTCTCTCTGTCCATGTAGCTGGCTCACGCTGAGCAGGATAAGCTGCGCTGGAGGATGGAAAGGGCTCAGTTGGAGCAGACGGTGAGAGAGAATAAGGAGCGGATGGAGAAGTTAGAGGGCTATTGGATGGAGGCTCAGAGCTTGTGCCAGGCAGTGGACGAGCACCTGAAAGAGACGCAGACGCAGTACCAGGCGCTGGAGCGCAAGTACAGCAAAGCCAAACGCCTCATCAAAGAGTACCAGCAGAAGTGAGTGCGCGAAATGCTGGATAATAGCCAGCCAGACTCAGCATAGTGACTTTAATCAGGATTACAAAGGAAAATAAGCATGTATCATGGGGCTTGAAGGATTTGGACGAAACTCCTGTGAAAGGGTTTAAATGAAGTTGTGTTTATGTGTGTGTCCTAATGCAGAGAGATTGAGTATTTGAAGAAGGAGACTGCGCAGCGCAGAGCACAAGAGGAGTCAGAGGCCAGCCACAAGGTGGAGACAGAAAATCTCCAAGAGAAGGTGCGTTTGGAAAGCATTATTACCAGAAACTGCCAATGCAGTTCATTCTCATTCACTCATGAGATTTACGTGCACCCAAATCATCGGATTGATGCTCAATCGGACTGAAAATGCCTTTGCGTAAACACCTTACTCGATCTGATTGAGCTCAATCTGAATTAAATTTTCAATAGGATTGAAAATAATGGACCTGAAATAATCTGATCAACAGACAAATAATGAAGCATGTAAACATCTACATTGCCTGTGTGGTCTGCATACTTGAATCCAAATACATTATTGGTTCCTGCTAAAACAAACATCACTCTTTAATATTTAATAAACTTAGGGTTAACGTTTACGCTACCATTGAAAATGTGGGCTTTGAGCAGCATATCTTCATATTAGAATGATTTCTGAATGGTCATCATGCGACACTGAGACTGAAAATCCAGCTTTGACATCACAGGAATAAATGACATTTTTAAATAAATGAAAAGAAAAGAAATAATCTTTCACAATATTACTCACTACAATATTGTTGATCAAGTAGACGCAACGGTATTTTAATGATTTACGAATAAAAGCATATGCCATGTGTAAATATTAAAGGTAACTGGCTTAAACTCCAATGTGTTTCCATCTCAGATTACTGACTTGGAGTCAAAGGTTGGTGCTCTGAAGAGCTTGGAGCCTTCGTAAGCCTTCCACCGTGGAACTGACGGAGAGAACGACAGAAACGCCTTCAACTCCGCCCACTCTACCCTCCGACCACATTTTTACTCCATGACCTGAAGAACCTGATGGACTACAGGAAACATGCTGAGCGGATGTTACCGGGGACAAAGAGGGGACAAAACAAACACTGTACCAGACGCCCGAGGGACGTCTAGCTATCAGGAGGCCCTTTTTATAGTCATTTATTCATGTTCTCCTCGTTTCTTTTTAAGCGCCCTTAAAGGTATTATGAGCCTCTCTGCTCTCGGCAGGAATGTACAACCTCTTCGTTAATAAATGTTCACTCACATGCTTGCAGGAGAAGAACGAAGCGGTGGCCAGACGAAGACGGCACGGATGCCCACACACAGCCTGTATCGCAGTGACTGACAAGAGGACTGTTTGTATATATTCTGGCATATATTTAAATATTAAAATCGCTTAAGCAATGTGCTGGGGGGGGGGTGATCGGGTAAGGGCTTTACTTTTCACATCTAGGCAAATAATACAGTGAAAGTCCATTTTTGCATGGCAAAAGAGATGGTCAAGTTGGAAAACAGGGTGTGAAAAGTGTAATCTTGACATTTAGAGTTAGCATTCAGGAGCTTCTTATGTTTTCTTTCTGTGTAAAAGAAATGGTAATGGAGGTGTAGAATAAACAGGGGCTTATGGGTAACTTTTAAACTCCAGCGCTTTTGGTTAGTCGGTGCAGTGTTTATGCACACTGCACAGTGTGCCTCGGTCAACCCTGCAATGCTAACGTGACGGCGTAAGAATTCTGAATCAATCAGAAATATAGCCTTGCTTAATTGCTACACAAAATCTTTCACCAGCCCTCTCTGTTTTAAGCACTCTTAGTGTGTTTACTACAATGTTTTGATCTCCGGGGACCACGGTAAGTGCACTTGGTTTGCACTACAGAGAGTCCTGGAGAATCCTAAAGTTTTACGTCTCTGTTGGCTTATATTGTCCTCTGTCCTGCTGGACGTGATTTGATTCAGTATTATCATTCCATATACATTGATATGGAATCTCCTTTTAGTTGTTTTGTGGTGTTATAAGCCACTTTAGTCTTAAATGTGTTCTTTTAAATTGTTCTCCTGGGAAAACTGGAATTTTGACAGCAATTGTGAGGCTTCAATGGTCTCAATTTTGTGTGTCGACACGAGCATAATTTGTGTAAACCCATTCTTATGTAAATTCATAAGGTTTGTCTAATTGAGTGCTTCAGTTAATGTTCACATAGAACGCATTTTGTGTTCTAGAGTGCTGCTTTTGGTTATTTTTCTATTGTAAGAAAATAACGTCTCGGACTGTCTCGCTTCTCCGCTGACTCGCGCACGAGTGTCCCGTTTTTTTAGAAGCTGTGAAGCATCTCGAGACCCTGCGTTGTTTTCTTTCTTAATTAGGCTGGGTCCGAAAGCTTAGGCAGACGTAATGACTTTGCAGGCACAAAGGTTTCTCACGAAACTGATATAGGACAGACACTGCAACAAAATACAGCGTGCTTTGGTGATAACTAAGCAAATATTGAGTTAAATAATAAAAATGTTCTTGCTTGAAATGACATCAAAAGTGGGAAAAAGTTGGTCAGAATCTTTGTTTACACAAAATGAACAGCAACCTTTCAGACCCCATATTTATTTTTACACAGGATTGTGGGATATCCTAGGGCAAGGCAGTGAAGGATACATCTATGCTGCCTTCAACAATCAATCAGTTAAAGGATTCTTAGTAGACAAGATATGGGACGCGATCATTGGATTAGGGCGTGCCTTGTTGACTTCCTACCTCCGTGTATTTTTCAGCTTTCGGACGCAGCCTTGGGTACCTCCTCTCGCGTTTTAAACTGAACAACGTCTTCTGTGTGAACACCCCTTAAAATCATTATTACCTAAGATTACAGTTCAGTCGGATAGCTGTGGCCTCTTCTATTCACTGCTAGGCCTCTCACATCAACCGTAGAAATTAAACACAACCGAGTTGTGCTGAATTCACAGAATCGGGGACTACATCTGTAAACTCAGCACGGTATTGAAAACTCAAGAGTATTGGGAGTTCTTTCTTTTCCCTCCGAAAGTATTTATGTGTTCAGCTTTTTATGCGATTGTTTATTTTCATATAGTTTAATACTTTTTTTTCAATATTACAAAGTCATTGGTTAAAAATGTTGAGCAATGGGGTAACACTGAGAATACATAGGACGAAGAGTTTTGTCAAACGATGCAACAAGCAACAGGCCTATTCTAAGAATCTTACAATCATTGATATTCCGCGGGTAAGTCTAACGTATTTTGTGCGTCAATCATCCTAAACCGCAATAAGACTTGAGTTTATGTCTGACTTTCATTGTCATAGTCACCTAAAACTATTTTTCAAGCAAGCGAGGTCAAGCACTGACAGGAAATGATATTTCTGGCGCTGTTAATTATGGGACTATTATCTCATTTTTACAGCTCTTAATTCGTTGACTGTTTAACCCTGACTAGAAACCTCAGCGTTATCTAGCAACCAAGTGCAGATGTTATTTGAGCAATTACATAACGATTGACGCCGCTGTAAATGTATATAGATCTCAAAAATAGAACAATTTTGAGGGCTTCTCTTTGTTTTGTTTGTCAAGGAAACCATGATTTCCCATCCGCCAGGAAAAAGCCCACTGGTTTGACAAGGACCTAAGACATTCGAACAAAATGGTCATATTTGCTGTGTATAGTTACTGTGAGCCTCTGTTTGCTGGGATTTATTATTGTAATGTGCTGGCTAGTACACATGTCCATGTGTATGGATGTCCAGATGGTGGCACAGTTGAAACATGGAAACGTTCATTTATTTCCCCCGTGCATTACACTGTAGAAACGAGCAAACTGAGTTATGGAGGAAACGAACACTTTGAATCGTATTAACGCTTTTTAAATTTCACACTTTAGCTTAGCTTAGCTTAGCTGCTGCCTTTAATGAAATGAATTTGCTTCCATGTACAGGAAAGAGCTCTGTGTTTATCTCCTCACACTGCTGGTATAAAAGTTGGTTCCTCTTTATTTTTGGTGTCTACAGTGTATTTTAAATCAAAATCTAATAATAAAAATTGAGTACAGAATGACATGTTTAAAGATGTAACGCTGTGGTGTCGTTATGCATCAACTTGTTTGGAACTATGTTGGAGGGTGGGGGGGTGCAACAACTTGTAATTTGATTGTTATTTCCATAATTATGGCATTATCACTTTTGTCTGACACCTAACATAAAGTAGGAACACCTTTGATTTTATAGTTGTTTTACGAACTTGACTCCATTTTCCTCTGTATTGTTTTAGTTCCTTTTTTACCCCTGCCATGTAAATTGCTACCACATGTCATGAACAAGAGGAAGATGTTCTCCATTTGAAATAATTATCATCATGTTCAATAATTGCATAAGTACTGTCATAATAAATGCAGAAATGTGCTGAGCAACAACCAATTTTGTCTGTTTTGAAAGTCAGTGTGGGAATAGACATTGTCGAGCAGGTGATTTTTCTATGACGTTTTGTTGAGTTGAAATGTATTTTTTCCTTTGACATTAGCAACAAGCGATATTGCAAAATAATGACGGGTATACGATTTAAAAGACTGTTCATTTTTAATATCCTCATTTAGATGCTGGTAATGGTTATATAGTACGATCCTAACAATATGAATAGAAAAAAGAATGGAAAAAAAATCCATTCACTCTTTTGGCTGTACAGCCGCAGAGAAGTTGACCAATGTAAGCTGTCCGGCCGGACAGCTTACATTGGTAAACTGCTCTCATCCAATCACCAGCTCCACTTGAAACTCGCAAGCCTGGCGCTTGCGTCTCCAACCCAACCCAACCGCACCCGACCCCGCCCCCCTTCAAGCGCGAGCAAGCAGCTGACAGACAGTCTATGGTAGCTAGCTAAGTAGCGTCAGATCAGCAATGGAATAAAACAAAGGATAAAAATATAAACGACAGCAGCAGTAGGATAAATATAGAGTCCACTATTGACAGTTGGAGGAAGCTTCAGGGAGATCTGGGACTAAAACCATAGACAGTATAAGAAATGGACAGAGCGATCCCATTGGGTAGTCACTTATTTCCAGGGGTTTCATCCATCCATCCATCCATCTTCTTCCGCTTCATCCGGGGCCGGGTCGCGGGGGCAGCAGTCTAAGCAGACATGCCCAGACACT